TGTGTGTGTGTGTGTGTGTGTGTGTGTGTGTGTGTGTGTGTGTGTGTATGAGATAGATTTTCCCCAGTATAAGAAATCAGGATCTCACCTCAGTGACACATTCTGACTTCTCTGGCCTGAGGCACTGTATCCTAAGTCTTCCACAACCTTGGGTCTCTCACGGTAGAACATCATCTACACATGTCCAGGAAGGTCTCTATCTCTCTTGACAGATGATTCCCTCCCATTTCTGTCCCTTTAGGCTAAGATCGATATGATTAATATGAATAACTAAAGGTTACACTCATGCTATTTTCAAATCCTTTCCCCACCCTAGTGCCAGGAATATTTTATTCTTCCTCTCCTATTTTTTCAACAGCTAGACCAGACATTTTATTTTGTGAGAGGCAGGTTAAGCACTCAAACATTCTCAGAGACTGAGAAATGACAAATTGGCTAGAGGCCTTCATTTGCCAGTTTGGCTTCTGTATTTTATCACTTTTCTCTTTAAGATATGGGGCATACTGGGTAACAAACTTGGGGAAAGGGGCCCCTTTGGAGCTGTTAAAAATAGCCCGTATGTTCTGAATATCTTGTTCTTTACTTGTTTTTTCATCTATAAAATGAAAGGTTTCAACTAGGTAGCCTCTGGAACACCTTCTCTAAGGCCCTTGTAAACTTTGCTGCCTGACTGATTCGCTTTGTGGGCTGCTCTCTCTTTTCTGTTAGATGTTGTTCTAAAGACTGAGCACAATGATCCATGTAAGTTAATGTTAGTTTTACATAAACTTTAAAGGCAGGTCTTCAGGGCAATGCAGTTCAGTGGAAAAATCACTGACTTTGGATTCAGGGGGCCTGGATTCATATCCTCCTTCTGATATTGGCTGTGATTTCTTGGCTAAGTTGCTTTCCTAGGCCTCATTTTCTTCATCTGTAAAATGAGAGACTTGGGCTGGAAAATGATCTCTGAGAACTCCTCCAGTTCTAGAACTATCATTCTCTGAACTAAATATTCTTTGAAAAAAGCTTTCACTCCCAAAGATGAAAATCACTGAGATAAAATGTCTTCTTTTCTACCCTTGACCCTGGGAGTCATTTTTGGGGACAATCCATCAACAATTGGAAAGAATCCCGAATTTGGACTCAGGAGGCAAGTATTCTAATCTGGTGTCTTCCCTGGGCCATGGGATCTTGGCCAAGTTTTTAGTATCTCTGATCCTGAGCTTCATTTCAAAGTTTGGACAGGATGACCCCCAAGGACCCTTTCTAACTCTCCATTTAAGATCTCATGATATTGGGGGAGCTGTTTACCAAGAGTTCTTCCAGATCAGTGATGGTCCTAGGATTCCAAGTATTGATCAAGCAATTGGTCCCTGAAGATTACTTTGGGCACAGGGAGGAGAAGTAATCAAACACATGAAATTTGAATGAACAAAATTTTGACATGCTTGGAATTAGACTCAAAATGTCAAAGGTTCCAATAGCTTCAGGACATCTCATAAAAGCACTAACTACTTTACGTGAGTAGAAAGAACTCTGGACTTGGGGTCAGGAGACTGAAGCTTATCTACCAGGTTTAATGCTTATTTTGTGTTCCCATGTAACTAAACCTCAGTTTCCTTATCTACAAAATGAAGATGATAAACTTGAATTATCACCCTCAAAGGCAGCTAGGTGGGATTGTAAATAGAGTGCTGGACTTGGAGTCAGGAAGACCTGAGCTCTAATTTAGACGCTTAATCACTATGTGTCAGCACATGGTAGGTGCTGAATAAATCCTTGTTGACTTGAAACACTTGCTATGTGACTGTGGACCAATCCTTTAATTTTTTCCAGTCTCAGTTTCCTTATCTACAAAATGGGGATAATAATAGCACCAACCTCCCAGGGTTGTTGCGAGGCTCAAATGAAATAACACTTGTAAAATGCTTTTGCAAATCTAAAGTGCTATATAAATGTTACTTATTGTTATTATTGTATTATTATGAGTGGATCATTTTGCAGAACTTACTGCAATTAAGAAATTTGACTCATTGCTATCCTTCATTTCCCACCATCATCTTGCTAATGCTTATTTCTATACTTTGGTTCTTATTACTTTCCTTATCTGAGGACAGCCCCCCGTTCCTAATCACCAAATCGTGTCTGCGTTCTTTAGCACCTGGGCTTCAATCCTACCACCTCGAAGAAGCTCACCCTGAGTTAATTTGTTTCCTTTGCTGTTCCTTTGAACATTTGAGCATGCAATTTGTACTGCTATAGGGCTGGTCTGTTACAATATAAATGTTTTCATGTCATTCCCTGTTAATTGGATCCATCTCTCCAGCTAGATGGGAAGCCTCCTGAGGGCAGGGTAAGTTTCATATCTGCCATTACTTTTGCATATTCTTAATGTGCCTTGTTGGGCAGTGTACCAACAATTGGTAGGTATTACAAGCTGACTAAATTACCCTGACACCTCTATTTAGGCAGATTTCTCGCTGGCGTTATTAAGAGCTACACACATGGAGATTCAGATGGTGTCTTGGATGCAAATCCCAAAATGGGAACATGTGTTCTTAGAAGTTCTTAGAGAAGGAAACAGCATTCAAGGTGCAGGTGTCTTTGGATACCATTCAGACTGCCTGCATGTGTCTCTATACAAGTCTAGGACCCATATGCATTACATATGTTATGTATTTTTAGATAAAACACTGCCACCGTCCAGCTGTTCCAAGTTCAGTTTCAAATAACTCATGTGTGACTCCCCAGTAACACAATATCGTGTTTCCTATATTGTTCTCTCTTTTCTTCTACGAGGTGTTCTACTTCAGTTTTTCCTGAAGGCAGTGTGGGTGTGTTAGATAAAGGCATGGCTCTGGAAGCAGACAACCCAAATTCGAATCCCAGCTCTATGACTAACTGTGACCTTGAGGAAGTCACTAACTTAGCTGACTCACTCTATCACCTCCCTGGGCTTCACTTTTCCCATTTATAAAATAAAGGTGTAGGCTGGATTTTCTTTACATCATCCTTTACCTTGAAATCTATGATCCTACTTGTCCCCCTCCCTGTATAATTAATTGGTTGGGTTTTTTAAAATCTTTGATGCTAACTTTTGGCAGATGTGACCACCCCAAATAGCTCCCAAGCAAATCACGATACATCCACTTCCTGATTATTGAGTTGTT